GATAAGAGAGAGAGAGAGAGAGAGAGAGAGAGGGGAAGGGAAAAGGGGAAAAGAAGAAAAATGGTGATAATAATTGTTATGATTATAATGAAATTATGATTTAAAAAGAGAGAGAGAGGGAGAGAATAATGGCGAAAGATTGTTTATTAAATGTATATATTATAGTGAAAAATTAAAAGTTATTAATTTGTAAATAATCATATCAACGATTAATCAATACTAATTTGTTAATTTTAAAAGAATTTAATTAAATTAATTAATTTATAGTAATAGAATATAATTGAATAAAATAAAAATTTAACATACTCCAATAGCTAATGGATTTAGAATTGGTATGATACCCTCTGAAGCGATACTTTGTATAACACGTGGAGTACCAATTAATGTACCAACTGTTGAACTTAATGATGAAACATAAAGTCCAATAAGATATAAAAATCCTGTATATGATACTTTTTCAGCAATTAACGTATCACAAATTAGATATGCTCGATTAACCAATGATCCAAGAAGTAGTATGAATGATAAAATAATCATCGAACTAAATTAATTAATTCATTAATTAATTAATTAAATTATAATGATAAGAAATAAATTGGTTTAAAAAAAAGCACAATCATTTTAAAACATTTTAAAATTGATATATTCTACAACAATTTTTCACCCATTAAGAAAAAAAGAAAAAAAAACCTAATAATTTTCATGGAAAATTATTTCAATTACTTCAATGTCTTAACTATTACTACCATCATTTCATTATTATTATGATTGTTCCAACATTATCATGATCATTATCACGATTAGTTCATTCTCATTACGACTATTACCATGATTACTTCATTCTGATTACGATTATTACCATGATTATTTCATTCTCATTACGATTATCATCATGATTATTTTATTCTCATTACGATTATTACCATGATTATTTCATTCTCATTACGATTATCATCATGATTATTTTATTCTCATTACGATTATTACCATGATTACTTCATTCTGATTACGATTATTACCATGATTACTTCATTCTCACTACGATTATTATCATGATTATTTTATTCTCATTACGATTATTATTACTATCATTTCATGTCTCGTAGGTTATAAATCTGAATTTTCATTTCCTAACCGTAATTTTATCTTTATTTGTGATACAACATTTGTTTATTAAGTGATGATTTATTCCGGATATTTAACCGGTGATATGATGATTTATTCCGGATATTTAACCGGTGATATGATTAGCTCTTTTAAATAATGCTTAATTAGTAAAATGTTAGCAAGAGTAAATCTAATATGATTCACTTGGTTTTCGCAAGAAAAATGACTGGAAGATAACGATGCTTTTTTTTGATAAAATAATTAAAAATTCTTCCGGAATAATGAAAAGCTAGAAGGAACCGGTGGCGAACAGACTAATAACGGATAATAAACGGTTAAATTTATAATTTCGGAAAACTTTTTTTTTTTTGCAGAAATTGTTTATATGTTAAAATGAAGAAGTAAATAAACAAATCAGTTTTCCGTAAATTTTTATACATAAAATTTACATCTAAAAATCTATCAGGAAAAAAAAAATCGATCTAAAAATATTTCATACCTATTATTTTACATATGATATCGATCATTCTGTAAAATCATTCATCTATTTACACTTGAAATTTAAAAGTTAACTTATGCAAGCTTAAAAGGAACTAACGATTTACCTGACAGCGATTGCAGATAATTCACCCACAGGTATACTAAGTTGTGGATCCCTCAGATCATCACTCATATTCACACCTGTATAGAATTTAGTAATTTAAAATTATTTCAATCATTTCAAAAAATTATGCTAAAAATTTTCCAAATATTTATTTGGCTGTTAATAAAAATTATAAAAGTTAAAATTTAAAATTAAATTTTAATTATTATTCACTTCTTTCCTTTTTTTCATTCCGCTTAATTTAAATTTGAATTTGCAATAAGTTTTATCAAATATTTTTACTGATTAAATTTGACATTTTTAAATTACTAAATGAAAATATTTTTTTATGTTTTATTATTAATTTTTTCAAAAATTTCAATTTTCTTCCTATTCAAATATTTATTTATTTCTTTTATTGTAACAATTACTCAAATAATTATAAGTATTAAATTAGAATATTGAATGATTTGATTAATGCTTAAAATGTTTTCAATTATTTCAATTACCAGACATTAACATACCATTATTTAATCCAAATAAGTTTATGTTTAATGTGAAATTTAATTTTTTAAATAATTTTTTTTTGTTTTTTTTTTTTTTTTTTTTTTTTTAATACAAACCTGCTAGAACACCAAGAAAATTTGCGAAGAATACACCAAAAACAGTGAAAAAAGTTTTGGCGTATTTGTTGTACATCAAAGCCAAGTTGAGAACAATTAAAGCCATCATACATTGGATTCATATTTGCATCAAGTCGTATCATCGAAAAATATCCTACGCCATTCTCTGAAAAATCTTTTCGATGCATGCAAATTGCGTGCAATATTGCATTGCATGCAGCAGCATTCAAATACAATTTGCACGTTATGTGCAAATGTTTGTTAAATTTTTTTTTTATAATTAAATGAAAGCGTAAGCTTTTAATTATGAAAATATACAATTCGTAGAAATGTTAATTTATTCCGTAAAATTTTAATTTGTTAAAAATTAAACATAATTATTTGATATAGCTAATTGAAGAAGCATCCCTAACCTATATCAACTTTAAATAATGCTCCTAAATAGAAATCAATAAGAGCAACCATCAAAAATATCAATAATATCAATTGTAATCGAATAATCCAACGTACACCAATCATATTAGTTCCTAAAAAAGAACAAAAAAAAAATAAAAATAAAAAAATAAATTAATTACAATATTTGAAAAAGTTAATTAATTATAATATTTTGTAAAAATTTATTAGTTACAAAATATTTGTTAAATTATTTTGCTAAAACAGTATAAGAATTCAAAAAGTTATTTATTTTTTTGATGCTATTGCTTAAATTTAAAATTAAATACCGTTCAAAAAAAAATACACATACATATATACGGTTTTCTAAAAGTAAATATAAAATTTGATTAATTATTTCCAATTAAGTAATATTTGACATTGGAATTTTTTTTAGGACTGAAAAAATAATTGATTTAAATATTATAATCTATTAAAATTAATTATTCAAATTAAGTTGTTAATTGTAAGCCTTACATATTTGGTCGTTATGAATTGGTGAAAAAAAAAATTGTGCAAATTAAAAATTTTCCCCATAAATATTTTAAAATAAAAAAAAAAGGGAAAGAAAAACCTGTTAAAGCAAGTAAACCAGCAATAGCGATGATTTTATGAATAAATGAATTTTCAATTCCAAGAAAACGTGCGGCACTTTCACCAAAACCAATGAGAACTAGCGCAATTGTCACAGACAGGAAAAAAAAAGGGTTTATTAAAAATTAAAAAATAAAAAAAGAGAAATTCGAAAATTTAACCAAATATATCTATATACCATCATCATAAAGCTATATAACTATTGAAAGAAAAAAAAAGGTTGAAATTATAAAATGGCAAATTTTAATTGACGAAAATATTAATTAATTAGCAAAAAAAAAAAATATTTGCAAATTTAGGTTTATATTTTGGAAGAAAAAAAGAAAAAAAGATAGTAGCTGTTAGAACATAATTTTTGCATTAGATTAACATTAATCAATATTTAATTTAATTAACAACAATTGATATTTGATTAAATTAACATTAATCAAAATTTTCAATTTAATGCTAATCCTTTTATTCAATTAACAATAATTTTATCCCTTTTTTAAACCTCTTAACATTTTAAATTCAGTTTATTTAATTAATTAAATATGCATATTTATTTATTACCTGTCCAAAAGTATACATTAAGCCAATAGCGCCACCAATTTGTCCACCAAGTATATGTGATACAAGAAAATAAATGCCACCACTTTGAATTTGACATCTTTCATAAATACCAATGGCGGAAAAGACGGATATTAATGCAAGTGATGTACAAATAATTAATAAAATAACAGCATTTACAATGCCACCTATTCCCTGTAAAAAATAAAATAATTTAAATTATAAAATAAAAATAAAAGTTTTTTTTCAAAAAAAAATTTTTTTTTCAAAACTTAAATTTTATTATCAAAAAAGTATAATTGTAAAAATAATCAATAATAACCATAACATTTACCTTTATTAATCTAACAAATTTAATTTGATTAAATAATATTAAATCAATAAATTTAGCAATTATTAATTCAAAAAGTTTTCACTAAATTATTGCAATTACTTTGTGCGAAAAGAAAAAAAAAAACAAAAAATGTTCATCTGATTGATCATAATTTTGCTAACTAAAATGATTTAATGATTAAATATAAAAAATTTTTTTCCATTACACAATTTAAATGATTAAATGTTATTTAAGTAATCGAGTATAAATATGTTAAACTAAACTAACCACAATCCAACCCATACGAAGGAATACAATAACACCAAAAATATTAACCAAAACAGTTGTAAAAACACCATCCCAAGTACCAAACAATAATGGTCGAGTAATGAAAAAATTCCTGTTAAATTTAATTATTTCAATTATAAATCATTTCACAATTTTTGAATTTAATTCCATAAAATTGATTATGGGCTTAAAAAAAACACAGTTTTATATGAATAAAAAAGAAAAAGGACATGTGATTAATTGGCAATTAAACAAAAGACAAGGTAATGATGATATAACAAAAGATTAAAATAGGATAAGAAAAAAGTTGACAAAAAGAAAAGGAATAAAAATTATTTTTAAAAATTAAATTTTCAAAATGAAAAATTTACTTTTGCCACCATGGTTCATTGCTATTACTCTGAAGTCGTCCACGTGAAAATAACGAATCCATCGGTTCTCGAATTGTTTCACATTCTTCGTTTGTCATTTCAATTTCCTTCAAACTTTTAAATTTTAAAAATCTATTTTTTGTTTCTTTCTTCATTATTTATCATTGTTATTATCATTTATTATTATTGTTATTGTTATTGCTGTTATTATTATTATTATTATTATTATTATTATTATTATTATTATTATTATTATTATTATTATTAATTATTATTATTATTATTATTATTATTATTATTATTATTATTATTATTATTACTATTATTATTACTACTATTATTATTATT